ACACAAGGCATCAACAAAAGAGTCGAACACTGCAAACGCAGGTGCAGAGAGGTGATTTAATGGAAAGTTACTGCCTTGGAAATGGATGAGTTCCAATGAGAGACAGTTTGAAAGGGCAATCAATGTGCTTTATGTTTTTGGATCATTGTAGAAACACTTTACTGCAGTCTTTGAATTGCATCTATATTCTTCATTTTATATTTCTTTTATGTTTCGGTTTCCATGAGCATGCCATCAGCTTTATTTGCAAATACGTAGGTAGCCAAGAACGCGATTTACCCAGATGGAACAAGCTATTGTCTGTGGTCAGTACAGTCCTTTATTTTCCAACATTATAGAAGGAAGTGGATTAAAGTCCAGGTTTAAATGACCTCAAAACATTTGACATTAACTTTCTATTTCGGTGCCAGACAACTTAAATATTTATTTTCATCTTAGCAGCAGCAAGTTTGACAACAGGACTACCAAAAAATAATATGTACATATTTTACATAATATACATTCCTACACATTCTTATCAAATAATATACCGTAAGTAGGCCTGTCACAATAACAACTTTTTGTTGTGCGATATATTGCCGCAGAAATAATTGCGATAAGCGATATTATTGTAATTTTAAAGACCATTTTATGCCACTGAATATATATTCATAATGTAACAGCATAATAATGCAAGAAGGCCTACACTTCCAAATGACAACAAACTTAATTTTTAAGAATATTTAGATCATGGAAATTAAGTATCAAAATATTAGATACCTTAAAAAACTTGAATAAATAGTAAATAAACATTTTCTAACAAAAAGTGCGAAGTAACAAGTAGAAAAAAAGAAAAATGCACAAAGAACTTTTATGGAGATTTTTCCATCTACAGATTTTTCCCTGACCTTCTTTTCTCTGTAAATTAAGGGTGCACACTATTGCTGAAAAACACAATCACTACTTAGTATGCACAAAGACACAGATCCCTAAACAAGACCATATCTGCAGATTAAACTTTTTTTGTAGAAGCATTTTTTAAATTTGAACTAGCACCAACTACACCACGTTATGTACGAGAAGCTGCAAAAGACACAGGCGCAAGTGGAATTTAAAAAACACGATGACATAAATTTTTAAGGAAAAATAATGGGTGATATATTGTGTCACCAAAAATTATTGAGGTAATGTACATATATTGCGCGATAAGTCGATATATTGATTATTGCGACAGGCTTAAATATAAGGTGATCAGTGTGAAAATCAAAATTGACCAGGAATGGTCTTTTAAAAACTGCTTGTAAATCTCTTATTATGCTATATTATCACCAAATCTTGAATTCAACCTTTTTGTCAACTTGTTTTCTTTCAGTTTGCACAGGTTATTTCTTTTTGGAACTGACTGGTTGTAGGCCTCATTGATCTGAGCTTATGCACCTCCGTTTTTAAGTGGAAAATAAGCATTATTTGTGGATGTTTACTCAAAAACTGAGGTGTATGAGCTCAGATCAATGAGGCCTATGATCAATCAGTTCTAAAAATAAATACAAAACCTGTGCTAACTGGAGGAAAAGTTTGATAAAAAGTTGAATCCATTATTTGGTAGTAATCACAAATTTATAAGAAATTTTTTGTAGGCCAGTCATTTATGATCAAGTGATCAAGAACTCCACAAGTGTAACAAGGTGTGGGGGGTACTATCTGGGATCCAATACAAAATGTGTAAACATAGTCTAGTCAATCAATTACAAAAGCAAGTCTTCTCTACAATTCGGTTCATCTGATACTCAAAACATTACTAAGGAACAGCAAACTAGACTATAATTACTAAGTCATAAACTCCTGTCTTCTCATGTCATTCCTCCAGGGGCCAATTCTGCCCAGCATTCTCACTGATAACAATGTGATAGCCATAAACAAACACATATTGCTTCAGTAAGCCTAGACCAGGCAGGTCAGACAGTCAACCCATGATCCCAGATCAACCCAGCTGAAGAAAAAAAAGGCGTAGGCTATTGCTTTACAGATAGAAGAGGTTATGTCATGAAGACGGATATCTATACCTCTGTCGATCTACTTCAACGTCTAAGCTTCTTTAAACAGTTTTTATAAAGTAGTAATAATAATAAACTACATATAATAATATTGATTATGAGTGTGTTTACATGTGCTTACTTGCATAGACCATAAGACGCAATATTAACGAATTACAAAAATAGTGCAAATCAAGGATACAGCTGTTTACCGCAATTTAATAATCCTTGTACATATTAGTTCTAATTGCGGTATGGTCCACAAAAACAACAACAACAATTTTGCAAATCACGATATGCGTATAGTTATACAGTATATAATAAATATCCATCGCATAATAAAACATAATATTGATGTGTATCACTTGACGGAGACTCACCTGGATCCGCCACCCAATCCGTGACCGAAATTACACACACAGCTTTACCTGTGATTTTCCCATATTCCACATACGCGCTGCATTTTGGACTGACTTTTGGACGGAGCACAGTCTTTCCTAAGCGCCGTCCCCCCAAAATCGCGCACTATGAGAGTGGGAAAAGCCAAATACAAAGTCACCCTGTTGACACCGCAGTGCTTCCGAGTCTCCAGTTGCACACAAACAGCCCTGAAGCTGCAGGGAGAGTCTTGAGGAGTGGCATACAGGCGACGACGTTACAGCACACACACATTACCTGCCAATGGCACGGTGTGCGTAACAACTGTAAACCACTCGAGTAAAGTTCGTCAATATAAAACTTTGATGTTCGTCTAATAACGCCTTGTTTGGACGTTTAAAAATAGTGTAATGTCTGAAAAACGACGGACAAAGGAGGCTCCGTTTCTGAACGTTAGTTTTTAAACGTTTACAGATATACAGGTCAGGGCTACACACAGGCGGAGGGTGAACCAACTCCAGGGTAAGGCTAAAAGCAGCCAAATGTATTAAACATCATAAACCCGTCTTTTTAGACAATAACAAGACATGGGTGTCATGTAGGCTAAAAAAATGTTTATTGGGACTGAATTTGTATTTAACGTGATTGCAATTTAATAAAAGCGTTAGAAATTGATAAGTAGCCATAACGTTTCCTTTCCACAGTTATTCAAACAGCGAATAAATTATATATAGAAAGTGACATTATCACTAACATTGATCTATCGCGAGTTTAAGCACTCTAAAAAAAAACTATCATTATAATCACTGAAGCTGTATACACTATGAAATGAATCTCTTACTTACATTGTAGGTACATCTGCGCTTTGTTGTTTATTATGAGAGAATTCGCAAGAGTCCGTCCGGTATTCAGTCAGCGAACACGCGCGCACTCAACAAAACTGATGAGATTCAACGATGGCTCATCTGAACGCCTCTGATTGGCCATTGCATTCCTAAGTTCAACAGAATTGTGTGTGATTGGTTAAAATGCGCAACATCGTAAAAACGCCTAAAATGAAATACGGTGCAACATGAGCAGATCTTAATTTAATGCCGCAATCGACAGTCTATTCATATTCATTTTGTTAGCAATAGACGTAATAGATTTAATTTTTGTCCAATTTAGTAGCATTTTTGCCCCAAGTCCCCAGGCCAAAAGGGATAGTTCACCCAAAAATTAAAATGTGATGTTTATCTGCTTACCCACAGGGCATCCAAGATGTAGGTGACTTTGTTTCTTCAGTAGAACACATATGATGATTTTTAAGTCCAACCGTTGCAGTCTATCAGTCGTATAATGCATGGCAATGGTAACAAAATCTATGAGAGTAAAAAAAACATGCACAGACAAATCCAAATTTAACCCTGCGGCTCGTGACGACACATTGATGTCCTAAGACACGAAACCATCGGTTTGTGCCAGAAACCGAACAGTATTTATATAATTTTTTACCTCTAATACACCACTATGTCCAACTGCCTTGAGCGCGCGCATCGTTTCGTGTCTTAGGACATCAATGTGTCGTCACGAGCCGCAGGGTTTAATTTGGATTTGTCTGTGCATGTTTTTTTACTGAAGAAACAAAGTCACCTACATCTTGGATGCCCTGGGGGTAAGCAGATAAACATCACATTTTCATTTTTGGGTGAACTATCCCTTTAAGCGCGCCGCCTATGGCTATACAGTCATATAGAAAAAAAGACCAAAAGACAGGTATGCCTACAAACAGACAGATAGCTAGATAGACCGTGTGTTACTAAGTGGTTGCTGAGGTAGTCTGAGTGGTTGCTAGTGCGGTTCTGGGTGGTTACTATTCTTGGCGTGTTCTGGATTGTTGCTAGATTGTTCTGTCTTTTTGATAGGACTAGTGGTTTTCAACCAGAGGGCCGGGGCCCACTAGAGGGCCTTAGCAAACTCCCAAAGGGATGCAAGACCTTATTTTAATTCACCCCCTCAGCAACTTTAAAGCAACTCTTTTTTCTTTAAAGAATCAGCATTCCCACTTTCTTGAAAACCTTGAATATATGAGGAGTATTTATATTTATAACATTTAATATTTATAAATCTATTTAAATGTGTGATTTCTAGATCTTGGTCTAGAAAAGTCATGCATGAACCGAATCTTATAATTCCATAGGCATTTTAGAATTAATTAAATCAGATATTTTGGGTAAACATATTTGTAAAAAAAAAAAAAATCCTTATCCTTCCTTCCTTATTCAGTGAATCAAGAAAAACTGAAAAAGTCATTTTCATATTGTGGGCAGTGGGGGGCCTTGGAGTTAAAAAAAAAGTTGACAACAGCTGTAGGGTGTTCAGAACGGTTGCATGGTGACAGATTACAGAGTACTAGCCTAATTTTCGTGTGAAATAATAATTGAAAAGCATGACTTTTCTCAACCTCCGTCATTTATCATAAGTATATATATATATATATGATTTGACTACAAGAACATACTTCCGTTTAAGAACTCGTTGAGCTGCTCAGGAGAGAGACACCTTCCTCTTTGTTAGACATCAGGAAGTGATGCATACACACACGCACGTATGTTTTGAAAGTTGGATTTCCCCACCTCAGTCGGTGTAGCGAAGAATTAATGTATTGCTTAATAATGGGATACATGTCAACATCTGATCCGTCTGCGGTATGTGCGCTCGATGTTTACACTCTACCTGATATTGTCTTTTTGTTCGTGGTGAATTCTGATCTGTTTTTAACTACGTGTTTGTATGTTTACATTTAGAAATTCGAACAGATGAGTATCTGCATTCGAAAATAAAAAGCGGGAATGAATGGCGGTGCCTACTTAGTTTACATTCATCACATACAGTATAACACATAACACATATTCGGTGGTTGATAAAAACTGTAAAAAGTGAAACTATCGAGTGTCTTGAAGGTAGTTCACCAAAACTGATCCTTCATTTACTTATCTTCTTATCGTTTCAAAACCGTTTGACGTTCGTTCTTCTGTGGAACATAAAATAACATATTAGGAAGAATACGACATTCTCAGTCTTCCATTGCAAATTTTCCATACAGTGAAAGAAAATATTCATGACTTGTGCTGTCATTCTGTCTTCTCATTAATTTGAATTCCACGTAAAACATAAAGTCATTCAGGTTTGGAACAACATGAAGGTGAAATCATGAAAGAATTTAGTTTTTGAGTGGCTTTTCCATTTAAGGAGCTATTTTCACTTACCTGACCCTTAAAAACTTTAGCTGGAGCAACCAGGTTTTTTTTTTCTTTTTTTGTGTGTGTGTGTGTGTGTGTGTGTTTTTTTTTTTTTTTAGGGGGATTGTCATACAATTTTACCCTCTGTGTATTTGAACATTTTGAATATCACTATTTTAGGCTAAATATTACTTGGTCACAATCAGGGTTTTCTGAAAAAAAAAAATTAGCAGTTAATTTCATAGTCATTGGGGCATTAATTACATTTTTAAAAAGTGCCATGTTTTTTATTAATATTTATTTTTTGCATATTTTTTAACGTGACACCTCAGGACACTGATTGAATTGCCACTTCAATGTCCCATTTTGCAGGTGCTTGGCTGAACATTTAAATCTGAGCTCAACCAATCACAGTTGTGTATCAACCGTTTTCCTCAATCATGTCGGATTTGAATGACAACTCTTTGAACATAAATTTCTTGAAAGAATCTGTGTTGAAGAGGCTCTGTGAGTCTCTTGACAAGGCCAACAATAAGGGATGGCGAAAACTGGGGGAGATTTTGAAAAGTGACAAGCGATTCAAAGTGAGGTAATAACTTTTTCTCTCTTTCTTTTAATGTAATATATACTAATAAACTCACAGTCTTTTTCTTACTGTCTCCTTCCACTCACATGCACAGTCTCGATGATATGGACATGTGTTCTCTGAAGGCTTTGGAGGCGGATGGAAGTCCTTCCCGCAGTCTGCTCAAACTCATTGGAGATCAAGGATGTATGGTGGGTGAACTGGTGGAGTTTCTACAGATCGTGGGTCATACGGATGCCCTGCAGTGTCTGAAAAAAGGTACAGCAGCCTCAGTGTAAACATGGTACAGAAAGCGTGTATGTTTCAACAGTGCATCACATTATCTAATGTTGATTGTTTTGTAAATGCTCTGTTCTAAGTATTAATTCACAAATGTGAAAGCGAAACTGAAACATGACTGTGACACAGGCTTGAAGAAGTGATATTTCTCTTAGGCCCATGCAAAATGTGCACATTTTTTCCTGTACCAATTGTCAAAGAAAATATGAACTCTGTGTAATGGATTTAAAAATGCTAAATTGTGTTAATATGAAAATATGTGCGGTTATCAATATTAAAATATTAATGTGCACAGCTCACACAAAAGTCACTTTAAAACCAGCCAGCTTTCTGCTAGTCAGTGTGGCGAGTTTGTGTGGCCAATTTGTACTTTTTGCGAAATCTGCATGTAAACCTTTCACACAAAATTCCTGATTGCTGATTTTTTGCCTGCTAGTAGAACAACAGTAAATATTACTGCACCTTTACTTACACTCTTTTTTTTGTAACTGAAAGCATTACTGTAATACGCAACTTTCAAATGACGTGCATTCAAATTCTGCTGAAACTTCTGGCATAGATTATGTGCAGATATAGTCTTAAGTGATTTATTTGCATTCATAGGTCAGTTTCAGTTGCTGTTTTCTGAATTGATCTCACAGGATTTCAAATCCTTGTCCAGCCGCAGTCGGTGGCTGTCATTGCTGGACACAACCTTCGTCTCAGTTGTTATGCTGTTGGTGCTTCACATGTGCAATTCCAGTGGTTTAAGAAAACGGAAGAGGTGTGTAGATATATAACATTGCAAGCAAGCAACATAAATAACTGTCAGTCATTCACATGAATTACATAACTAAGGCAACCCTTCAGGTACATAACAGCTCCTCCCCAGACCTGGTGTTCAGTCCAGTCCGGCTCAAAGATGCAGGGTTTTACATCTGTCGGGTGAACTGTGGAAACGCATATGAGTTCAGTCACTGGGCCCAAGTAGATGTCCTCGATGTTCCACCAAGATATGGTAAGTCATTTGTGATCAGCAGAGACTAAGAAATTTGGTTGAATTGTCTTGATTGACATGATATGCCACTGATATCAAACTTGATGCTTTTTGATCGGGATTAGTGTCTCTGGCTTCAGAGGGTAGGCCAAGGGTGCTGATCCAGCCTCAACCTCAAAGGCTGCTGGTGGGAGATTTACTCGATCTGGAGTGTGGAGCTATTGGAAGACCACTACCGCAATATCAATGGTACAGAAACGGAGTGCCGATCAAAAAAGCCACTAAGAGGATGTACACAGTAAGAGGACCAACAGATGACACATTTTTGGATAAATTCACTATTGTTCACTTGGTTAGATACATTTCATTTCTGAGACAGCTTGGATGAAGTAGATTTTAAAAAAATTCTACACTGAAAAAGAAACAACTCAGAAAATGCTAGCAAGTTTCACAAATAATTACAAAGAAACGACAGGTAATACATTGAATTAAACATGATATTATGAAGTGGAAAGACTGAAATTATATTTTCTTGTAAAATGTACTCCAATATCTTTGTATTATTTTCAACTGTCAAAAATCTAAATTTTTACAATGTAGTGAGAGTGATTGAATTATAATTTTTTTGTTTAAATCAGGTCAAGAATTTGTTGCCAGAGCACCAGGGAAGGTATCGCTGTGAGATCTTCTGCAGTAATGAACGAACATGGAGCAATGAAGTGGATGTTGTTGTTGTTGTTGTTATAGGTATGCATCATATATATTGTTTTATATTTATTCTTTGGTTAGATGTTTTCTGAACAGCAGTGACTTAAAGGCACCCAAAAATTTTAATTCTGTCATTTACCCACCCTCAAGTTAGTTGCTGGTCCCCATTGACTTGCATAATTTTTTTTCTTTTCTCCATACTTTGGAAGTCAGTGAGGACCAGCAACTATTTGGTAAAACTCTTCTTTTGCGTACAGCAGAAGAAAGAAACTCATACAGGTTTGGAACAACTTGAGGGAGAGTAAACGACGACAGAATTTTCATTTTTGGGTGAATTTTCATTTTAAGGCTGGAATACATTACACGACTTTAAAGATTTTAAAACACTATGCGTCATACACTTGCCGACTTTGCAAATGGTTACAGAGAAATCTGGTCATCATACACTAATCGACTGTGCATCACACACTCAAGTTGTTCGGAAATGCAGAAACATGTTCCTCGTTGCTAAAAGACGCATGACAAATAAAAACAATATGTGCTCTAAAGTTGGCTCAAATCTTATCTTCCGATTGTATGAAATCATAATTGTATAAAACAATAATTTTACAATAAACAATAAAAATCATAATTTTTATAAAAAAAAAAAAAATGCATACTGGCTGCTACTTTTGGAAACTAGCATTGACTTGCGTTCAGACTGCAAATCTGTGCAAAATGCGTTTAGTGTATTCTAGCCCTTAGTTTTTACAGTATAAATCTAACATGCATAACTGCAGGACAGTCTAGTTCAGATCCCTAGAAATGGTCTTTGCAATGTCAAATATTTCCTATCCAACTCTAGTGCAGAGACAATTTGTACAATGATTTGTATGGCAATGTAATTCATTCTAGTGGACTGCCTGATTGCCGATAACATATAATGTTATTGGTCAATTTACCAAAAAAAGTGTGAGCTTGATGTCTTTAAAAAGTAAAATTCTTTTTTATCTGTATTTACTCATTTTGTGGTCCAACCCTTTATTCTTCCTCAAGCAAATCCTTGCCATTCTGAAATGAAAGAGCCAAGAATATCTCGTGAAATTTCAGGAGCAATGGAGTGCTCTGAAGGTATTATCTAAGATGTAGTGGCACCCTTCTAACATCTACAGACTTTTGACATCAACCCCTTTGTGGAATCTGAATCTACTTCACGTCGTACTAAATAATCATACTGTCACGCCGATTAATGCATGCTGTAAAAACTAATGAACGTTCCAGGTTTAAAACAAGTATATGTGGGATGCATTTGATTACCACAAATAATGTGAATACATTTAGGTCAACATGATTTTCTGTGATGATTGACAGCATGCCGCAGTTGAGCTTGTTTTGAACCCGGAGCACCTTTAAAGATTTTTCACCTACTCTCTTGACTGCTTCACTGATTGAGGTGGAGGAAGACTCTTTGATAGATCTGATCTGCATGACTGTTGCAAAAATGAGAACATTCCCATTCCAGTTGTAAAGTATGCAGTGTGAGAACAAAATGTTTTTGTTAAATGGTGGTAAGGGTTCACTGTGGCAGGATGGGGTTAGTTATCATACCTCAAAACTAGGTTTTTGGTCTTGAAAAATGGTTTCCTCTTGTGATCTATAAGCATTCTTTTCTCTTCATTACTGTTATAATCATGTTCCTTTAAATACGCATGATCTAAAAACCTAATATATTTCTCTTTTATAGATGATTTTTTGACTATTGATAGGGGTAAGTTGTGTTCCCATCACATTTAGTCTTGAACACTTCTGACTTTTATTGCGACAGTGAATGATTATGACTTTTTCCCATCAGATTACAGACTTGAGAAACCTTATGGTGAGTAGACCAAATAATTACTATGGATTAACATAACTTGAATACAAATCAAAATGGCTGGAGTCTAATTTTTCACACTGAAAGTTTTTCTTTCTTTAGCTACAGACAAAGTGGCTCTTCTGATTGGTAACCTCACATATCGAAACCACCCACAGCTGAAAGCACCCATGGTTGACGTGTACGACCTCACCAATCTGCTGCGGCAACTCAACTTTAAAGTGGTGTCTCTGCTGGATCTAACCGAGTTCGAGATGAGGAACGCTGTGGAGGAGTTCTTGTCCCTGCTTCGTAAGGGAGTGTATGGTACTGTGACTTCTATACAGTTTATGCTACTGCAGTCTCCTATAAACATTGTAATCGTAATTTGAAATTCAAGAACCTTCTTCCACTGTAAAGATCCTTTTGTGTGATGTAAAGGTCCCATGGAGGTTCTTCATGAAACCACAGATGCCAATAAAGAATCTTTATTTTTAAGAGTGTACCTCGTTAAACATTGACTTCAGATGTGATTAGGAAAGAATTAGTTATTTTCTCACCATTTACTCACCCTTGTGTCATTCCAAATCTGTTTAACTTGGTGACTTCTATAACAGAAGTATACAGTGACCAGGGGCTCAAAAAGTTTAAAAAGCACCATTAAAGTACCATATAATTTGAGCTTTCACATATTGAAACTTGGTGTGTTAATATCGGTTATGAGACACATGAGAACTAATGACACATGTTTTGGACATCTTTCATGCCAAACCTGGCACAACACATTAACGTGTCATGTTTGAATATGTAATAGATGTGCTAATATTGTAGTAATGAACGTGCACAATATTATTACTGTAGGCACTTTAAAATACTCAGAATAATTCTATACACTTTATTATCTGATTTTAGATAATCCTTATTATTGTGTCGATTTTTAGAATGCAGATTAGCTTCTTTTCCAACACTGTATGCTACATAAAAATTTATTTAGCTTTTCGTAATGGTCTTGAGCAAAGATAGCGGACGAGCTACATGAAAATGCTTAATATTTATTTAAATACTTAATATTTATTTTGAATCATTTGTTTACACATTTACACATTTCTAACTGGACTAAAACATGCAAGCCAGAAAAGATCTTGATATTGGTTACAAATGTTTTCTGTTCTTTTGCACTTTAATCAGTTTGAAACATTTGTTTACTCTATACATATTTATAGATGTATAGAGTATGTTTTATTTAAATGTTCAAGTTATTTTTTTAAAGTTGTTGAACTTGTTTTTAATAGAATAACACTGAAGTTTGTTGATCTTTTCAGCCTGTTTTTGTAATTCAATGCAATACCGTATACTGTGATAAATGTTTCAGCACTCATTGTGATACGTAAATTTGATACCGTCACATGACCGATATGTACACAAGTTCAAATTGACATCTTCAGCCAAGAGAAAGCTTTTGGTTTGGGTAAATGTTTGGTTAATGCTTCATGCAAAGCTATCATATGACTTATGTAATATAGTAAATGTGTCAAACTGAGCTTCTTTTATGGTACTTTTTTGGTCCTTTTTGGAGGTTGAAAGTGTGATTCACTATCCACTTTCATTGTGTGGAAAATAACAGACAATACACTCTGTAAAATATCTTCTATATATTATTTAGTGTTCACCCTTTTTGGAGGTTGAAAGTGTGATTCACTATCCACTTTCATTGTATGGAAAATAACAGACAATACACTCTGTAAAATATCTTCTATATATTATTTAGTGTTCACCAGAAGAAAGTCATACAGGTTTGGAATGATATGAGAGTGAGTAAATGATGTCAGAATTTTCTTTTTTTTATGAAATGACTCTTTAACGATAGCTCCTCCCTTTAGGTTTGTTGTATTATGCTGGACATGGTTATGAGAATTTGGTCCTTTTTGGAGGTTGAAAGTGTGATTCACTATCCACTTTCATTGTATGGAAAATAACAGACAATACACTCTGTAAAATATCTTCTATATATTATTTAGTGTTCACCAGAAGAAAGTCATACAGGTTTGGAATGACATGAGAGTGAGTAAATGATGTCAGAATTTTCTTTTTTTTATGAAATGACTCTTTAACGATTGCTCGTCCCTTTAGGTTTGTTGTATTATGCTGGACATGGTTATGAGAACTTTGGGAACAGCTTCATGGTGCCTGTTGATGCCCCAAATCCATACCGTTCAGGCAACTGTCTCTGTGTTCAGAGCATTCTGAAACTGATGCAGGAGAAGGAAACTGGACTCAATGTCTTCCTCCTCGACATGTGCAGGAAAAGGTGTGCATTTTGTGGTTTTATATCATATTCGCATTGGGAGTTCATACATTGGTTGTCATCATTCTAGCACTAATTTATTGCTTCAGAAATCTACATGACGATGCCACACCAAATGTTGTGCTCAAAGTTACAGCCAATATTGTGTTTGGATATGCCACGTGAGTTACTGAGTGTCTCTCTTTTTCATCCAGAAATAACATGCTGAAGTACATTTTGTTTACTTTCTGACAAGTTATGTTGAGATGTATTATGTTTGTGAAGTTGCCAAGATGCTGAGGCTTTTGAACTGAGTTCAAGTGGATTCACCAATGGAGTCTTTATTAAATTCCTGAAGGAGCGCCTCCTAGAGGATGAGAAGATAACTGTTTTGCTAGACAGTGTGGCTGAAGGTGAGGGAACCTTGAGCATGTTAAAGTTAAATGAAGCGTTACAGCGTTTATTAGCTGAATGCAGGTCCATTAAGCTCAAACAAATGATTAACTGATTTGAAAAGTGTACTACTACTTTCAGTACTTATTTTGCACTTTGACTACTACTTCAAAGATTAATTTTAAATATTAAAATAAATAAAATTATATTTCATCTACTCATGTTTGGTTGCATGTCTTGACAATCAAACTACTGTTCTGATTGTTTGTAGATATGGGTCAGTTTGACCCCACAAAGGGTAAGCAGGCTCTAGAGATCCGCAGCAGCCTGTCAGAGAGACGGTCCCTCACCGATCCCATCCGCCCCGGGGACTACTCAGATGCAGCCGAGGCACACAACCTGCTCTGGTCTAAAGCACATGGTAATGTCAGCTACTTCACAATATTGTGCAACTCATTTGAATAACCATATAAAATAGGTTTTTTTTTGTCAAAATTAAAGTTGTTAATAAAAAATAACATTTTCCGTGATTACTAGTAATGAAAATATTATAATATATTTATATAGTATAATTTTATAATATATCTAATTTTATATATTATTTAATATTATATATTCCATTTTAAAACATTATTAAATTAAGTAACAATTGTATTTATAAAAACCATATATATTAGTTATTTCTTCCTCACCATATTTTAATCAACAGTGTTTTAATTGAAATCATTTATTCATCATTATTATCATGAAGCATATTTTTCCTCATTTCCATCATTGTTGACAATACCAAAAAAAAAAACTTGATCAAACTTATATTTTCATTTCATCTAATTTCGTCATGACATGATTCTTATCATAGGGGGCCTCTATCATATTAACAGATGATAGTTTTTGACAAGTGAAATACTATAGTACTGTAAATGTAGTTTTTCTCAGCATTTGTCAAACTTTTGCATTTGTGTTTCAACCCAGAACTGCCGGAGAGTAAAATTCTGGACTTTGAATGTGGAGTTCAGATAAAAATGGACTTTGCTGCTGAGTTTTCCAATGTGCTGGTCATCTACACCAGCATTGTGAAAAAGCCAGAAGAGATGCTGTCCTGTCAGGCACACATAACTAACCTCCCTTTGGTTAGTGGTCTTTGTTTTTATTTTGGAGAAAGAAACTGCAATTATTCTTAATCACTACCATTAAAAGATGCGTGGTCAAAAAAAAGAACACATTAAATGGATCAAAAGCAATAATAAAAAATGTGTTACATACAATTTCTATTTAAAAATGCTGTTCCACTGAACTCTCTATTCATCAAAGAATGTATCACATTTTTCACAAAAATATAACAATGTTGAAAACAGCACAACTGTTTTCAACATTGATAATAATAAGAAATGTTTTGTGATCAGCAAATACGCATATTTGAATGATTTCTGAAGACTGGAGTAATGACTGCTGAAAATGTAGCTTTGCCATCACAGAAAAATGCATTAAAATAAAAAACAGTTATTGTAAATTGTAATAATATTTTAAAATATTACAGTTTTTACTGTATATTGTGAGCAGATAAATGCAGCCTTGGTGACCATAAGAACCTTCTTTCAAAAATATAAAAAAATCCTAACTTTTGACCGGTAGTGTATATCTGCAGAAGTCAATGTAAAACACTAATCAATCTAATTATTTAGCTGCACAGTATAAACTAATCTGTTTTTTTTTTAAAGAATTGGACTAATAGCATTCTTGTCAATATTCCATAATGCCTATATTGCCTATGTAACAAAGTTCGTAGTGGGAAGAAGGAAGTGACTCAGGTAGGCGGTTTGGAGACTCGTGGCTCTTTTATTTCTTTCCTTAAAGTTCAACAAAACACAAACGGGGCGCTTCCAGCGCGTTCTCAATCTGCCCAGGGCATAAACTCAGTTCAGTCGGCGCTCCTCCTCCGGCTAAGGGATGGCCACGAGTCCCAGTCTCTCTCTCCCACCACGTTCTCCAGTCTGCCCTTTTATCCGGTCTCTCCAGGCTAATTACTGCAATCAGACACAGGTGTTCATCATTTTGCACTTGACCTACTTACTCACCGCTCGTCTCCCGTCCCTCTCTCCCGCTGCAGACTTCGCTGAACCACGCCCCCCTCACCACAGCCTATATATAAAACATGAAACATGTTTCTTAACATATGTTTGCAATAAGTAATGTTTTTCCTATTACCTGACTTTGAAGGATCTGGATGTGGACCCTAAGCTGATGAATAAAGAAACTCTGGAGGAAACAGGAAGCTTCCTACTTTCAGGGAGTCTTCCTCAGCACTGCCTCTACACCAGACTCGGCTCACTGCAGAAACTTAAGGTACAGCTCAAGACTGACTGACAATATTCTTTAGATCTGATTTACAATACATATATAATTCAAAACTACCTTGATACCTATTTTTCCTTCTTCCTGATTTACAGGAGGAACTAGCTTTCACTGTCTGCCTACACGTCCAGTTTAACTCCCTAGACGACCTGGTCCAGTGGAACATGGACATTAACGTCGGCAAGCCCCTCACTGCCAAACTGGATCTCAACTGTCCCACCAGGAAGAACAGCTGTCAGCTGACGTGTCACATGCCGCACAGCCCCTCGACCAGCCCCAGCCACAGTCCCGCGTCTGACCGCCGCTTCCACAGCCAGGGCCCCCAGCAGCACACCAACCCCTACCTCAACGTCTGTGAGCCCCTCCACGGAGCTGTAGGGGGTTATGGGGACTTTCGATTGTATGGTGACCATACATATCAATATGAGAATATGCCATGCTCACCCTTCCTGAACCCACCAAGTATTCCCATTGAGACCACTGATGACATTGACGACATGCAGAATGAGTTCATGAATAGTTTGCAACTCTATAACCACCCCTGAGTGAATACACAGCGTTAAACCAATGATTAAAGGGATACTCCACACAAAAATGAAAATTCTCATCATTTAGCCATCCCAGATGTATATAACTGACTTTCCTTCAATGAACACAGATTTTTTTTTAGAAAAATCCATCTCTGTGAGTCTATATAATGGAAGTGTATGGGATCACCAAAGTTGGCACTTCAAAAATTAAAAACCACACAAAGTGAACTTGATGGCAATCCATCTGACCCCAGTTATGGAAGCAATGGTTTAGTTAAAGTTAGTAAATATTAGTGTTTTTCTCATATACTTGTGGTGTTTTGCTTCAGAGAACATTGATTCATCAACTGGGGTCGTATGGAGTACTGTCACTGTCGTGTTTGCTTTTTGAAGCATCGGCTTTGTCAAAAAGTCAAAAAAGTTGCCCAAAAAGTCATATACATCCGGGACGGCATTAGAATGAATAAATTATGAGAAAAATGATCATGTAAGGTGGAGTACCCCTTTAAAGACTGTGTAGTTAGTATATTAAATGTCAAGGGTGTATTTTTTTCCATTTTGTAAAGATTTTATTTTTTTATTATTATGATAGGACAGATCAGATGTAGCGAAGGGAGAGAGAGAGGGGGGGCTGGATTGGGAAAGATCCTCAAGTCGGGATTTGAACTTGGGACACCGTATTGCAACAGCTGTTAAAATGTTGTCTATCGATTAATGACCACTTTATAAATCAACTAAAATTAATTCTTTCATACATTGATCGCATTCTTTTGCATTTGCATTTGGTGGTGATTGTAATGCAAAAATGTATCATCTCAAGTGATTGTCTCATCTCTATCAGTTTTCAGTCTTTACTTTCATGTGACTAACTTATTACGGCACCTTCAAAATATTTTAGCGTAAAGAAAATACTGTAGCACTGTTACTGTAAGTATTTAGTCATTTTAAATGATCATTTATGTTTAAAATCCTGTCACCTTATTACATCTAAAAACGTCTTTTTTTCATATAGATTTTAAACATATTTAGAAAAATAATCTTTATTTTTAAACAAAAAGTGCATGAATCAAATGTCATGATTATCTTTTAGTATGTAGATATTGGTCATAACTCTGACTTTGTAATGTAAGATTACTCAATGAGAAGGTCAGTCACAATTTGATAAAAAAAATAAATCAATAAAAACAAACAATTGATTAAAAAGAAAAACAAGAAACCAAACAAAAGAACTCGGAATAAATTTCTGCACAATGACATTCATCTCTTGTGTGATCAATATTTCTCAGGAAATGGAAACTTAATCGTTTCACTGCATAAGCAAATGCTTGTCATCAAGACGTTAGACAACTAGATGACTTTGACTTCCTCTACACGTTACGTAAGAGTGCACTTCTCCTCAGCCTTGGATTTCATCTCCACAAATGTGGCCTGGGCCTTTTCTTTGAGCTGCCCCATATCCATGTTCTGAAGGTTCTGCATTTGACCTATGATGGACTCCTTTTCCTCCTCCTGTGGCGCCTCTCCATCCACCATCTTGATCAGTTCTTCTGGCACGTCAATGTCATCTCCGACCTGCTGGATCATAATCTCATCCTGTTCACTCTGAGAAAAACAAACAGCATGTCAATCAAACCAGATAAATCTAATAGCACTTCTTTGCTCATATATGTAAGAATTACACACCCAGAACCCATAGTTTGCAGACATGCCTCAAGCATGACTTTAATAAATAAAACAGATCATGAGGTGATTTTACCTATTTAAACTACTTCAATAAATAGTCACATTGTCTCTCAGGATGCGGATTTGATTATTTGTTTTCTTTTTAAAATGATTAAAGTGTTGATTAGAGAATGCAATATTTTTGTTTTTATTTTGTACAGATACTGACCATACCTGTGACACTTTTTTACTTACAGTAGTTTAGCGAGCCAGTTTGATTAGGAACAATGAAAAATAAAAAGAAGACATTAAATGAAATAACAATAAGAAAGCATTCTTTGAAATAAAGGAAAAGTAAATATGTTCATTATAAAAAAAATACCTGAAAGTTTATGATTTAAGTAGATTTTTTAATTATTAATTATATGTATTTTATGTAGATATAATTAATAGCTTCTTTAAAGAGAATTTTATGTCATCAGAGAAAATTAATAATTTTCAACTTTATGAAGGCCTTGTGTAGAATAAAAAAAGGACTAGACTATTTATTTATTTACTTAAGTTTGTTTAATAATAAGTACAGTTGCCTCTGTGATTATTAATGATGATAATTAACTTATTATAAAATTAACATTCATTTCGGAAAAAAATCTGATCTAACACTTCAAATGCCGAATATATGGTTACAGCTTTGCAAAATGTTAATAGTTTATTTCTATACTAACCTTAAGTGTGCACTACATTAATTGAATTGCATCACTGTGACTATAGATTTTATATAGATGGTTCACAACCAGGGGGCCAGAGCCAGGGCCACTATATAGAGGGCCTTAGCAAACTTCTAAGGGGGGCACAGAATTACTCACATTTAATTTTAAATTAGACAAAAGTTGTAAAAGAAGCTAAACCAACTAAAAAATAAAGATATTTTCTTATAGGTAACCTAGACTATAATTATAAATGTGACTTCTAAACTTGGAAAAGTCATGTAAAATAATAACTCCATTTTAATTTTTATACATTTTCCCTATTTTATACATTTCCCAACTTCTCTCTTCATCCACATGAAACTGCACACAGTTTGACAGCTCTACAGCAGTGCTGTTAAAGCTCACTTTAGGGATTAAGCACTGCAGGTGGTTAAGCCCTGAACATCCAGACTCACTATTTTAATTTACTACATTATGCCTCGATCTCCTGCCACAATCTGCACTGCAACCTTCACACACTTGATAGCTTAACCAGCTCTGCAAACTGATGCTATCCATGTGCTGCTTAAGCACAGTCAGTCAGGGACAGGAATAGCTAAATTACTGAAAGAGATTCATTTATCTTCTCCTGGGACTCTCACCTTTGGAATTCGATATTTTTCTCTTAAACAAGTCCTCAGACAAGCCCTTTCTGCCTTTCTTATAGCATATTCTGCATCTCTCTCCATCCTTTATTCCCAAAGAAGCAGGCAATGTACAGGAGATGAGAAAAGCACAAAGAACAGAAGTTGAAAATGAACAGGAACGTAAGCAGCAGTCAAGAACTGTTACAACAGTGTTATCAGAAAACAGCACAGCATCAGGGTACTTCATGTAATGTATACATTTAACACATTTAATAAATTTAACGTATTTATAATAGTTGAAATATAGGGGATGCGATTTCTTTCACCGCTCAACCAATGCTAACATGAGTATCACATGATACTAACATGAGTATCATGTGAAAGTTATGCTTCACATCACAAAGCAATTGTTAAAAATGTGTTTGAAAATTGGCTGATATATTTCAGTTTGTTCCTTGTGAATGTAATACTCTCTTGAATTTACAACATTATTGAAAACCTCCTGGATAAAATGGGCTTGAATGGCCAATGTTTTTAAAAGAGTTTCAGACTTACTTTTCCTCCACCATCTGCTTCTGATACTCCTCATATTCTTCTCTGGACATTCCATCATGAGACGTTTTGCTAGTTGTTCTTGTTTCTTCAACTGGCTGATCACAATGAATGAGAACTGATGCTCCTTCCAAAAAACAAAAGATACACTACTGCTTTCCTTTTTTCCCCAATCAAGCTTTAGCTTCAGGATTGGTCTATCAGAGTAAATCCAATGAGAGGCTTTTCTGTGCGACAGCCCTGCAGTTGCATCACCAAGAACATGACCGTGGCCAAAAAAATAGTAACCATATTCTGCCAAATTCCATCAGCTGGTCTGAAACTTTTTTGATTAGTAATATGCATTGCTAAGGACATTGCTAAGGACTTCATTTACTGTATATTACATTCTCTATATTAAATAAACATATAAGGCATGTTTTCATAATCTTCAATATAGTGTTATTGCCAAGGTTTAAGTGTTCATATGACCTTTTGGAAGTCAATTTAATAATAAAGGTCAACTAAAGAAAATACTTTTCTGAAGACTTTATTAAAGGATTAAATCGGTTCATATGATGAAAAGTTGAAATTTCAAATTGCTCGATTCATACAGATTACTTTATGATATATTTTTGTACTTTGTGATGTGTGAGAGCTTTTGGTTGCTTGGACTTTCAATTAAGGAAAAGAAAGAGCAAACCTACAAAAATGTCTTCATTTGTGTTTCAAACATGAAGAAAAGTCTTATGGGTTTGGACTGACATGAGGGTGAGTAAATGACAGAATTTTCATCTTTGGGTGAACTATTCCTTTAAATACAAATATGATCTTGATTTGTTGATTCGTCAACAAATAATGTGTAATCTTTTAATTTAGCCTAAATTTAAGTCCTTTACAGTTACAAAGCAACTTTCTCCAGTAATACAGAATGTGCAGCAACTTTTGTGGCTCATCCAATCAGCATTTAGAGTTGCAAATATCTGTTGCTTCATGGGATATTTGAAGACAAAAATCTGGGAGTTTTAACTAAAACTATTAAAAACCATTTCTGGTAAATCAAAATAAAGCTGAAATGAAATAAGATGAACATTAGATTAAACAAAACGAAACTCAAAAGTATAACTGTTGTCTCTGGAACTGAGATAAAATAAGCTAAAATATGTACAAGTACTAAAACTGAGATAAAAATACAAATGCTAAAACTAAAATGAATAGTGACCATATAAATGTAAAAATTAATTCAAAATATTAATAAAATAATATAATGTAAATTGGAACACACCAACCTATGAAGATGTTGTTGTCATACTGTCTCTTGAACAAGGGGAGCAGGTCGGGAGCCAACGTGATAACGGGAACTTCAGCAGAGATTTCTGCCTCAAGAGGAACAAACTGCAAGATATTACATCACTATTAAGCACATATATCACACATTAATGCTATTTCTCCTAAGCGCTGCATGCCAACATTCCCAGTTAACATCACCACAGACTTTTACATTGTAAAACAGTTGCATCTTTAAACTGTCTGCAGTCATGATTAACATTATTTACACAAATTGTATTCATCATAAACATAATGTGAGGTACGGGCCCCTACCTCAGGAAGTTGCTGTGGGATCCTGATCTGACTGTGAGGTTTGTCATCAATCTGGAATCTCATGGGCTCGATCCGTCCTCTCCTGTGGCCCTCTGGAATAGTCCTTTCTCCCCGTAACCAGTAATAGTTGACTTGAGGGTCAAAAGCTGCCAATAATAAACAAAAAAGCACATACATTAAAAACCAGAAAACACATTATATACTTTAAACAATATAAAGAGAAGCCACATTACTGAATGAGAAACCTGCGTTGCAGTAAAGTGTAAACATGGAGGTCAAACCCACCTAAACTTGACAGACTCAGCACGGGGTTTTCTTTGGCCAGAAGGTTTTTCAGACCACACAACGCGTTCCTTAGAAACGGAGTGACAAGTTGCTCTTGCTCTTTCTGGATGAAAGTCCTCCCTTTCTTCGCGTGCCAGTGTTCTTGTAAGATGGAGTTGCAGACTACAGATCGCACCTCAGACAGCACAGACTCATCCACCACCGGCGCAGACTCGTACTTCTCGGGCAGTCTGTTGAGAAACGCCGTTTTGGTATAGTACTGATACCACTTGTCCGCGTTGAGAGCAAATGTGCGTGGGTAAATCACATACTTCTTGCGCTGAACGCGAGTGAGCGCTCGGATCTTCTCCTGCGCCGTGCAGGAGCGCAGCTGCTCGAAGACCTCCGTGACCACGCGCCGCTTCGCCGCCTTACTCTTCGCGGTGCGGGAGGGCAGAATGGGTGGATATAGACTCTTTGCTGTGGAAGCCTCAACCTGGACATTTCTGTTACAGGCGAGGCGTACCGACGCACTGAAGAGGAAAGGATGCAAGGGCAACCTGCTGCAGGACGCCATGTTTCTCCCGCATGATCTTCAGAGTTCTTCTTCTGTCATTCAGTGCCACTGTGTTTGTCTGCTGCCGTCTGCTGGAGCGGATGAGAGGAGAATAAGAGCAATCGTCTGATGGTAAACGTGTGAATCTCTCTCAATGTTTTTAACCTTGTATAATTCCCCCTCATGTTATGTTATTTATTTATTTTACTTTCTTCCTTGTATTATTCTTGAGATATTTTGCCCTCTAGTGTTCTTGATATTGTATAGTTATGTACTTGTTATAAAAAGTATTTTGGCATTAATAATAATAATAATAATAAAAAAAGTGAATCTCTTATACACAAATCTATATCCAGTAAACCATTCTTGACAGAAATAAAAATAATAAAGATAAACTAAAATAGAGTAACATAAACATCTATTTTTGTAATAGCTATGAAACTATGAAACTGTTTTGCTTTTGGCATTGTACTTATTCAGTTATACTGTGCTATACAGAAATGTATCAATGCAAATATTCACTGTTCAAGACCTCTAACTTTTATGGGAAAATAAACTCGAATTTTCTAAATATATCGAATATTCTAAAAATAATGAAAATTATTTTATTAAATTAATCAAAATTGACCAAAGTTCACATTCATAAACGCATAAAAATGTACTAAACAAAAAAAAATAAAGAAATAAAATAAAAATAAAAAATATTTATTATGTAACATTATTTATACCCTTATTCTGATCTTTATATGATTGATTGATTGATGTATTTATTTATTTTTGTAGTTTTTTCTTGTCCCTTTTTTGTATATTTGTATGCATAATTGTGTGTTCATTGTTCAATATATGCATTTGAACGAAAGTATGTTATGCTAATTCAAAACACAAATTGTGAATCTCACGAAGATATTAAGGAACACATCTCACCTCAAAATAATAAAAAAAAATAAATTGTGAAACTAAAATATGCATAATGAAGTTTTTCTTTTTTTCACTTATTCTGTAATTCAAAGGAAACTTTTATTTTTAAAACCGCATAACTTTTGAGAACCGGATGTAAACAAATCCTCAGCAGCAGCACGTGAGAGGTGGATTTCCATGGGATATGGACGCTGTTTGTCCTTAAAACAGTGCAATGACAGCTTGCAGTATTTTACTAACCCGGCAGGTTTTGCCTCTTGGACATAATTTACGGCGTGACTTACCTGTGAAGGTGTTTAATTCTATTTTATGAACACGCTGTTAGAGTTTAAGTGCGGTCTGTGAAATTGAAGTGCGCAGAAGACTTAATCTGCTGTAGACTTAATCTGCTGTGTACATGTTTTAGACATTCAGAGATCCTGTTTATGAGGTTTTGTTTGTTTCAGACCGTTTGCTCTTCCACGCGCGACGAGGTTCGCTTGGCACAGGAAGCCAGCAGGAAATACGGAAAACCTGAACCCACTATATTTTCTAAAATAATTGACAAAACTATCCCTGCAGTTATCATTTATGAGGATGACAAGGTAAATTGCAGACCACAAGCCTTTAGGACCTTTGCTTAATATACTGTTAAGTAACATATTGTTTTTTATTTAATTCAGATAGATCAATAGTATGAATAGTGTGCATATCAGTTTACATATAATATATATGTTGTTGCAGTGTCTAGCTCCTGTGCATTTCCTGGTTATTCCAAGGATTCCCATTCCCAGGATCAGTGAAGCACACGATGATGATGCATCGGTTTGTCTGTCCACATACATTTGATTAATTTCTAGTTTTAATAATTACAGAGGATGACACACCTCTAAGATCTTGACATTTTCCTCCAGCTCCTGGGTCATCTTTTGATAGTGGCCAAAAACGTAGCAAAGAAAGAAGGACTGGATGAAGGATACAGAGTTGGTGAGCAAAATATGCTTTGTTTGAAAAGGGTTCATTTAATCATCTATCATCTTAAACCTGTAAAGCTTAGCGTGTAAAATAATGCTCAAATAGTATGATGTAGAAGAATATGGAGCTCATAATCAAGGTGGAAAAAACACCTCACTAAGCAAAAATATGCAATTTGGTGCAGTTGCTGATATTTATGTGACCAAAAAGTAAGATGGCATTCTGTTAGCTTGTAATGTAAATTAAGGTTTTTGTAACAGTCTAGCAGACTACGTACGTAAAATACATATAAATATTGATGTACATCAATGATGTATAGATAATCTCGTAAATCTCATTTCAGTCCAGTTAGTGTTTATTTTTGAGATATTACTAACAAGTGATTCTTACGTTTAATTTATAAAAAGACACATGTACTCTACAATGACCTAAAGGTCGACATATTTACAATTATACTAAAAGGCTTTAACTTGCTAAAAAAGTATAAACTATCAGTCAGATGACAGAAGGCTTGTAGTAGATTGAGTACAACAAATTTTTATAATGTTGATCATTTAAAGGCTGTAGAAATTTGTGTATCAAATATAATACAGTAGGCTTTATAGGGTTAATATGTGCAGTTTATTTAGTATAGTACACTATAATATTAACATGTCATTACCTTTAAAGAATGCATTATTTGTTTAATTATCTGTCATTGTTATTTACAGTCATTAATGATGGAAAAAATGGGGCACAGTCCGTGTATCACCTTCACATTCATGGTCTTGGAGGACGGCAAATGAAATGGCCTCCAGGATAGATGGACCTTCTGTCAGAATAAAAGTAATGGTCTGCATTTTTGGAGGAGACAAGCATAACTGAAATACAAAATGAAAATTTGTTGGAAATTACCAAAAAAAAAATTTGTCAAATGAGAGAGTGGGAACTATTTTCTACATTAAAATTAATTTGACTGGTTTTCAGTCTTCCAGTCATTCACTGGGTAATAAAAATGTTCTGGTGAATTTTGCAAGATTCACAGTTGATATTGGCTTTTTGCACAATGGGTATTAAATGTTTGGCATATGCAGAAGATGTACTGAAAAAAAGGACAGGAACTATATAAATAGGAAGTTAACGCACAATGGTTTTTAGTCATGAAATGCAAGCAGAACGAATTTCTTGCAAAGCATATTCTTGCATAAATTGTTGCATTCAAGTCAATGGGACAGTTTACATATAATTCATATTATGAATGATTTAAAATACACAGCAGTTCCTTCTGCCCATGTTCCATGAATAAGGGCCCCCGTGTTTATACCATGAAGACACATTTCAGGACGTGCTGAAATAAAAACATACGATCTGAAATCTTGTATTAGACCTGGTTTGGCCTCAGCTAAGGTCATCCTGTAGATCTATTAACTGATGAAGGTGGTGTGATCGAGCGACCTTGATGTCCAGTGGGCTGATTTCTATGGGTCGCTCATGAGTGTTTATATTAAGTGAACTTTCGTCCTATTTGCTGAAACATCAGATGCATCTGTACAGGCAACACATCATGTCTGTGCTGACTAGATGAAGAAATGTGATACAGAACAATAATAATCTTAATAGTTTAAACAAACAACTTTGAGCCTTTTATAATTCAGTTTAATACATATTGATTGAATCTAAATTTAACAAAACATACTAGGATTTCTGGAGTGTAGATACAATATAATGGTCATTTTATCTAGCATATGTTATGGATTTTTATTAGGTGAAGGTTGCAAAATAGTAAGTGTCCACAGTTGTCTTGTCAATAATGAGTTTTGCTTTATCTTATCTGCTCGAAAATTATGTGGAATCACAATCCCTTTCATACTATCGACTTTGTGACCTTGGAGCTTATGTAACAATATTAATGAACAACGTGTTGATCAATAAACAGCTCTTAATTTAACTTGTCTCGCAATCTCTATAACGTGAAATATCAAAAGCAAGTCTGCAAACATGAATGAATGAATATTAATACAGACATTTGCTGTTGAAATGTCTTGCAAATGCCGTACAATACAACTTGAATAGGAAGTTATTTTAGAACGCAAATTGTATTTAAATATCAGCTGTAGAATGTTTACATGACATGCCAGAGACATGATCAAATTTCTTTAATTTCCGTATTAAGTCTGTGACAGACATTAATATCATACGTTGTATGTGTATTGTTAAAAAAGAAAACCGTCAAAAATACATTACGTTGACAATTATATTCTTGATTTTTAAAGTATATATATGGTGCTGTGGCGATTAAATCGTTAGTTTAATAATCTAAACGCAGACAGCAGCAGTGAAGTCCTGTCACCTGCTCCACACGTCACGTGACAGGATGGTACGGTGAGGCCATAGGTTTGAATGGAACAGTAGACGCACTACGTTATTCCACCTGAGAAACATCTGTTTCATTCACTCCTGCTCTGAAAACTACACAATTTCCAACAGCACTGACAGGAAAAAACCCGTTCGAACATGTAAGTCAACTTTGATCACTTTTTGTTAACATTAGTAGGCTAGCTAAATGTGTATGTTATAAAGATAATACGTTTGCAAACTCATACGAATGAACTTTCTGCAGGTGTCTTTGAGGTAAACCGTCAAAGTAGAATTTATACCTAGGTTTCTAGTAAATATTCAGGTTAATAATTAGTTGTTTAATTGAACGTAGGGGTGATATTTTCAATATAGCCTAGTTGTCACAAGGTAGATTTTAGTTCATTCTATTTAATAATTTTTTTTCCCCATAAAGTAGGCCTATAAAGGTAGCCTATTTTTCAAATGTCTGGTTGAGGCAAGTTGTCACGTGCGTTTTAAAAATTACAAATAGCCTAGATAAAATTCTAATGGTTATTTGTGGGACGAAACTATGCGTTGTATGTTATTTACCATGTTTGTTATTTCATTCATTGTTTTTAGTTACGTAATTGATTTCCACTGTGATTTACCCCATATAGTGTGACAATATGCCTACTGTATATATGGTATATATTTTGTAAATTTTGTTTCTCTTGTCTTCTGCTTTGTCATCAGGTGGTCATGTGTCACCGGTTAATCGTTACATCCCTAGTCACTTTAAATATGATGAATATAATTCATTATAGAACTGCATATGATCATGTTATTCTTTTCTTTTATTTTTTACAAGCGAGTGCATTTCCATTTCCTGATTTTTTTTAATGCATAATGCTTCGATTCAGTAGAACAATACCATGTTTTGTGAAAAGCTGCCCATGTGAATGAATGAATGAATATTGAACCTGACACCTCAACTCCCACACCTTTAAGTACAGATTAGGATCCAATTCCTTAAAACCATCAAATTATTTCACAAGATTACTGAGGCCTATATCATTGTCCTTGTCGGTATTGAAAGAGTTTTCTCATCGAGTTCACTTGGACACAGATCATGATGTGGCCACACTTGTGTTGTAATTATCATGAACTTAGTCCTTTTGCATCTTGAGTAGTCAAGTTATAAACTTCTGGAGGCATCATTCCCAGGATGAAAAAACATTTTTTTTAATTAATTTTCTTTAAATAAACTGTTATAAAAATATGTCTTATAAAAATGCAATGTCCATTCTACTCAACTTAAAGGGATAGTTCACCCAAAAGTGAAAATCTCTCATCATCTTTTACTCACCCTGAAGTTGTTACAAACCTGTATGACTATCTTTAAATATATTTTGAAGAATAGTCATACAGGTTTGTAACAACTTCAGGGTGAGTAAATGATAATGACAGAATTTTCACTGTCATCATGAAGAATGTTAGTAGAATGTTAGTAACCATACAGTTCATGGTAGCCATTGACTTCCATTGTTTGAGGGGGGAAAAAAACTATTGATGGCAATGTCTACCTTAAACTGGTTGGTTACCAACATTCTTTAAAATACTTTATTTTGTGCTCAGCAGAAGCTCATACAGGTTTGGAACAAGTCGAGTGGGACTTACATGATGACAGAACTTTCATTTTTGGGTGAACTATCCCTTTAAATGTCAAACGTACTAATTACTTCAACATACTCTAGATGGCATGCTTATACAGACTTCACAAATGCACATATGTTGTATGACTAAACCTTTGCAAACAAACATGTATTTTTCATGTTTAATTCTAGATTTAAAGATATGCACATTTGCACATTAGACTATTTAACGTAATACTGTCTTAATCTGAATTTCCTAATGTTGGTGAAAAGCTAGTCATTAACAGTAACCTCTTGTTTGCTGCTTTCATCATCTGGCACTCTATCCACTGGCACATATTGCTTACTATTTTGCAAGAGCTGGGGTACATATAAAAGATAAATGACATTTTGAAACCACTAGTGTTAGAGTCTTTTGACTGAATAGAAGATATTAGACATTTGTATTATATTTTTTCTTTATTCTATTTGGCCATTACTTTGTAACGCAATATTTTGTAATAATATTTTATTTTGTTGTCATCTTAAGGCTCTGTACAATGACTGCCGATGAGTGTATATCACAGAGTGATTCCAAGGAAATCCCTGTCTCTGGAAATGATACTGAAGGGTATGTAGACTTGATCAATGAAAATGTCATCTCTGTCCACCTCCAATATTGTAGTACCTGATAATGTACTGCTTATTTTATTATTATTTTTTTTTTACTGATGTATAAATTATGATATCCTGTAATAAGTTTTATTTGTCTTTCTTGCTAGTTCTGTTAAAACTGAAGAATATCAGACTGTAGCACTCCATAACTCCAAAAACCAACCAAATGGGGATTGCTCATTCCCTTACTGATGTATAAATTATGATATCCTGTAATAAGTTTTATTTGTCTTTCTTGCTAGTTCTGTTAAAACTGAAGAATATCATACTGTAGCACTCCATAACTCCAAAAACCAACCAAATGGGGATTGCTCATTCCGTCATGAAGAATAACAAAGGTACAGTCTTCACATGAATGTTCACAATAGGTTTGCATATTGAAAATGCAACTATTTTGCATAAATACTGAAGAGCATTCAGTGTGCATCGGTCATGTTGTCCTTGCTGACAAATATAAAAAAATAGATTTTTCACAAAATACATTCTTGTGAAAATGACAAATTATATTATTTCTGAATGTCACTTTTGACTTTTTTAATCTTATAATTACAATCATTAAAAAAATAGGATGAAAATATATCAAATATAATTGATAAATGTAGCTGCAGCATAAATTATTTTTTGAAATTGGAGTTTTTAATTTAACAAGAAAATACTATTTTGGTCTTTCTACTTCAAAATGTAATGTTTAATTTTATGTGATACTTGCTGTTTCTTTGTAATATATTAAACCGTACAAGTTAATAATAAAAACAGAATTTGTTCTGTCCATTTTTTTTTTAACCTGCTATGTAACCATGTGAAACCTGATTGGTGAGAAACACATACCATATCCTGTCAGTAACCTGACCTATTTCTGCACTCTTGTAAAGCTGTTAGTTCCTCAGTGTTTTTCTGAGTGTGTGACAGGAGGCAAGGGCAGCTGCCTGAATGGACTGATCTTTTCTTGCTTAGCATGCAGAAGCTTCATATACAAATTTGCAATACATTTCAGAAGCACTTGTAAAATATAATCATGTCTCCTGTGTGTCCTTGCTGTTCGGATCATAAAGGCGATGAACCGGCAATACCATTGACGACTGGAGATGTGCGTCTCGCTCAAGCCCAGGAGCTGTGGAGCACAGCCAGAGACAAGCCTGTCAAACTGAGGATGGAGACATCGGGACTGGGCTCAGAACCTCCAATGACGATCCATCAGATGTTCCTGGCTACAGTGCAGAAGTACGGAGACTATCCTGCCCTCCGTGCGAAGAAAGATGGAATGTGGGTCTCTCTGTCCTATAAGGAGTACTATCAACATGCAAGAGCGGCAGCCAAAAGCTTTCTGAAGGTTCGACGTCACATCTTTTCATCTTTAAAAATGAATTTCAAAAGCTTTTCAGAAATATTTTTTACAGTGTATGAAATGTATTGTTACTTGATACTTGATAGCTGTTTACTTCATGCATGGAATGGTGTAAAAATGGTGCTGTGGTGTAATTAGTACTTGCTTAAGTTAATCTAGAATGTTTGTTTTGGAAGTTCCTTTGAATGACATTTCCTATATCATTTGTGAAATGATCAAACTATTGGCTTGAGGTTTTAAGGATTCAAAGCTTTTACAGCTCTAGTTTCATTGTTGCACCAAAGTTTCAAACAGCTCTAGTAGGTGAATTGATTTAGCATATTTAGTCATTGTGCTCTTTGTGTACTCTAGCTTGGCCTGGAGCGATTCCATGGCGTTGGTATTCTGGGCTTCAATTCTCCTGAATGGTTTATAGCCGACGTTGGATGTATCCTAGCAGGGTATTGACGGAGTGTATTCATTTAATCTGTTAAAAGTGAATCTACATAAGATTAGAGAATGAGCAAAAGAAGTCTTGATGGAATGTGGGATCTGATCTTGTTTTGTCACAGGGGACTGGCCACTGGAATCTACACCACTAACTCTCCAGAGGCCTGCCAGTATGTTGCTCATAACTGTGAAGCTAATGTTCTAGTTGTGGAAAACAACAAACAACTGATCAAAATCCTCCAGGTAGTTGAACAGCTTTCATTTAGTAGATGATTAATGCTACAGGTGATTCATCCTAGAAAGACATTAACATGAGAAGTGATGCAATAAAAAGTTCCAGAATTGCTAGTACAGAGGTATTATAATAGTATTCTTTTAATAACAAAAAGTGTATTAACAGTTATGAGTCAAGTTCTCAAAAATAAAACGGATGGAGTTGGAAAGATAAAAATTCAACAAGAAAACATACTGGTTAAAATAGATTACTGATTTAATAATTCAGTGAAATAATTGGATTACTAAATATTAGGCCTATCTTAGAGTGTGGAACAGTGAGTTCAAATCGAAAGTTTAATCATTTATCCATTACACCATCTGTAAATCAACTCCACTAAACATGTCACTTCCTTCAGATATGATTGTTATTATGAACAAGCGTGATCTTGTTAGAAAACATAACGTACTAATGTTTTCCTGAATGAAGTACAAAAACCCTGTCACATTTTTGTAATAAAGTCTTTTGTGAAAGTTCTTATTTATGAATCTTTTGTAACACTTTACAAATGGTTCTGTATGTTAACATTTAGTTATTTCAGCTAGCATATAGTGTATATATATATATATATATATATATATAAATATAAATGACTGAATCTGCTTATAAAATACTAATCAGTTTTTTTTCACTCTCCTCACAGGTCAGAGATCAGCTGCCACATTTGAAGGCTATTGTTCAGTACAAGGGCGAACTGGAGCAGAAGTTACCAAACGTATATACGGTAAGCTTTTGCCAAATAATACAATAAAAATGGCTCTGAATGCTAAATGGTTGTACAAAACATGTACATGTAAGTAAATACAGATAATGCAGGTTCACTGATAAGTACAGATCAGTATTGTTTGTTCCCAAACAAGAAAGTATCAGAATGTACAGGGGTTTTTTTTTCCCACAAAAAGCCAGTCAAGGAAAATTAATGTAAACAACAAAATATTTCCAGTATGTCTACTAACCAAACAATCAAACAGTGCTCCTGATATATGCTTCAATTTGATGTTCTCTCAGTGGGCTGAATTCATGAAGTTTGGAGCAAATGTTCCTGATTCTGAGCTGGATGTGGTGATAGACAGTCAAAAGGCCAACGAGTGCTGCACATTAATCTACACATCAGGCACCACAGGGAATCCCAAAGGGGTCATGCTCAGCCATGATAATGTGAGTACCAATTAAAGTGTCACATAAAGCGAATAGTTCAGCACTTATGTCAATGCCAAATGTAATTAATCACATTTGATCAGCTGTGCCTTATATTCATCCCTCCTCTGTCCAGATCACTTGGACAGCCAGCGCAACAGGTCGCATGATCAATCTGAAGATGGCTGAGGAAGAACTCGTGAGCTACTTGCCCTTGAGTCACGTGGCAGCCCAGGTCCAAGACATGTGGATCTGCATGAGGTTTGCCGGGATAACCAATTTTGCCGAGCCGGATGCCCTGAAGGTAAAACTCCAGCTTTTAAGATGCTTCCACTATTTACTTTTGGAAATATACATTTTTCTACATTTTTCATTAATTCATTCAGCAAACACTTTTCTACAAATGAGGAAACACAACTTATTAACTATTAACTGTAAAAACTCACTGTAGGGCTCCCTGGCCAACACTCTGAGAGAGGTGCGTCCCACGAGCTTCTTGGGAGTTCCTCGAGTGTGGGAAAAAATGCAGGAAGCAATGAAAGCCATTGGTGCAAAGTCGTCTGTCACAAAAAAGAAGATTGCAGACTGGGCCAAGGGGATCGGACTTCAAGCTAGCTATAATGCCATGAATGGGTGAGTTTTAAAAGTACCATGGATTAAATTATAAATTGAATCATCTGAAAGAATCTCACAGCTCATTTTATTTCTCTACAGTGATTCCTCAGTGCCGTGGGGCTTCACGCTGGCGAATGCCCTGGTTTTCAAGAACGTAAGAAAAGCTCTGGGTCTTGACCGCTGTAGGACTTGTTTTACAGGTGCAGCTCCAATCACCAAAGACACACTGGAGTACTTCATGAGCCTTTACATCCCCCTCTTTGAGGTGTACGGCATGAGCGAGAGCACTGGACCTCACTCCATCTCCTGGGCTGAGGGTTATCGCATTATGAGGTCAGAGGCATGATGTGCTTTATGTATTAACCCTCAAATGGTCCCCATTTCCTGTTTACACTTCTGGACTTTGGGGTAAATATGACCCCAAAATTTATAGAGTTATTGTAAAAAAATTATGAATTTTTAATCATACAAATAATATATAATTTTTTTTGTTTACTTCTCCATCTATACATTAAAGCTGTGTTTTTGGAGATATGAAGTACTTTTGTACCTATTTACCACAAAATTCCTCAACTACACCATTAGCTTGCATGTGAAATATCACATTTTTATGAAAAAATCACTTAAATGATGATCTAAATTTGATTTAAGTTGTTTCTGGATATTGATCTAGGTGTTAGGTGTAGAATTCTGCCATCTGCTGGTTAGAGAAAAACTTGTAGAAATTAGAGTTTTTTAAAGAATAGTGTAATGAATGACTAGGGCTGGGTAAAAAAATATCGATATCTCGATATTAATCGATTATCATTTTTACGGAACGATATCGATTCTTAAATCCCAAGCATCGATTAGTCTAGCCTGTTTTCAGTTTATGGACGGAAAATTGAAGGGCACTTCCCATCCAATATATCGCAATAAGCATTGTGCTTTGGTATTTTAATATGGAACAAAGTCTCAGATTTCAAATTCTGTCCATGGTATTGCAGTATTCAAACAATAAATGCCGTTTTGGTGCTGTTTAATGTGAAGTGACAGATCGCTGAAGCGCCTCAGTTCAACAGACGCGGCAGAGCGTGACGTGCACGTGAACTGATCATCTCCTCCACATTAATACCAGTTTCAGCACAAAATAAACATGACTAAACATCCTAAGGTAAGTTAAAAGAAAGAGTACAACTTTACAATCTGTATCCTGTCTCATGTAATCGCTCAATCAGTGTTTCAGTGCGCAAAGACGTCAATATAACGTCTTGTAAACAATGTCACGTAACGTCACATTTACCTCAGAAAAAAACATATTTGGTCACCATAAACTCATTAGTCAGATAGAAAAATAAACTGTAGAGAGGGGCATTTTGCTAAATATATGCACCATATAACATATTCATTATAAATTTTACTATTCTTCAATGTTTAATTTATGTTTGAATAAATCCATCAAGTTTTTATGACAGCCACCATTGTTTTTTTTGTTTTTTTTTAATGAATTGAAGTAGAAATATTATGTAATTGTAACTTTATTATTAGTGTAATTTTAACAAATCAGTCAATTTTAACCTTCAATATTATTGTAATGTAGTACCAACTGACTCTCATGTATATTTTACAGCATTAGTTGAGAGATGTTTTTCTTTGAGAAAATGTGGCATGTACTGTACCTGATATATATCCAAAATAATCGATATTGAATCGAATCGAATCGCAAGCTTGTGAATGAGAATCGAATCGAATCGTGAAATTTGTGTCAAACCCCAGCCCTAATGACCATATAGGTCTTAAGTGTCAATTTTTGAAAAAAAAAATAGAGAGATTTTTTCGCATTTCCCATTCATGTTCAATTGGGGTCATATTGACCCCAAAGACCAGATTTGTAAAAAACTTTTTACATACCTTCAGAACAACTGAATCAAGCCCGTTTTTTTATGTGAATACAGATAGAAAATGTTGAAAAGTCACAAAATCTTAAGAGATCCATTCATTTTTCTGGAAGTGGCCAACTGCTCCTCTCACAACTTTTCTGATATATATTTTGTAAATATATATTGAAACATTATCTAATACATTAAAAAACAGTATTTTTCTCAAAGGTTAGAATTAGTTTTTGTTGTTTGAGGCATTTTGAAGTGCCCGCTTTTGCAATAATGCCACATAAATTTGCAGAAATGCCACACAAGTTGTGACTAAAACTTGATTGCATGCACATATTTTTTTCAATCTAAAAAGTAAAATCAAAACAATTTTATTTTACTTAAATGTAAATAAAACCAACACCAATAAAAAAAACAAAACAAAAAAAAAAACAACTGCAATAAGCAGATATGAATGGTGGGTGTGTGTGTGTGTGTGTGTGAGAGAGTGTGTGCACGTGTGTGTGTGTGTATGTGTGTATGTACGTGAGTGAGTATGCTCGTTCCACACTGTATTTGTGTTCTAGTATCAGGCCTTCATTTTTGTGGACATTTTCAGATTTATGCAGGATTTATTGATTTTATTTGCCAATTTCTATAAAAATGCCCTCTGTCGCATTCACTCCTGTGTGTGTGCGCGTGTGCATGTGAGTGAGCATGTCTTTTCTACATTGCATTTGTGCTCTAGTACCAGGCCTTCATTTCTGTGTGGAAATTTTCAGATTTATGCTGGATTTATTGATTTTTTTTTTTGACAAAATGAAAAAAAAAAAATAGAGAGATTTTTTCGCATTTCCCATTCATTTTCAATTGGGGTCATATTGACCCCAAAGACCAGATTTGTAAAAAACTTTTTACATACCTTCAGAACAACTGAATCAAGCCCGTTTTTTTATGTGAATACAGATAGAAAATGTTGAAAAGTCACAAAATCTTATTCCACTGAGATAAAGGGAACCATTTTTTTTATAACTAAGTAAAAGTTGATTGGGGTCATATTGAGGGTTAACATTCCTGCTGTATTTGAAATTACATGGATTTTTTTTTGTTGTTGTTGTCGTTATACTCCACTTTAAAGAACAAATTTTTTTTTAATATTTTTTTACCATAACTTTTACTTTTGGATGAACTGTTCCTTTAAATGATTAAAGGCATTGTTTGATTGTTTTAGTTTTGGTATCTTTTTCCACATGACAGAAAGTGCTGTACACAAAAATGCTGTAAAACTAAAACAATTCCAGAATAGCATGAATATAGATAGCAGTGTTAAAATAACACTATAATACTTCGCCTCATCCATCCTGGCTGCTACATATCATTCACAATATTCAGATCAAAAGCCAAAACAAATAGAGGCCAAAAGTGTCAATACATGGAGAGGATTTTAAAGAAAGTGGCAATTTATTTCACAGTACAGGAACTGGAACAGAAAAAGTAAAAATCTCCCTTACTCTTCAAGCAGAACCACCGAAATAGTTTGATACATTCCTCCAACATGTTTGTATTGTGATGTGATGAACTCTACTTCAAACATCCACTTATTGGTTAAAAGTCATTGGTTACATTAGCAGTATTTGCAGATGACAGCTGTATGTGACATTCATATTTTGTTCTCTTGCAGTTGTGGTAAGGTGTTGACTGGCTGCAAAACTAAGTTAGACAAGCCAGATACTGATGGGACCGGTGAGATATGTTTCTGGGGGAGGCATGTGTTTATGGGATACCTGAACATGCCAGAAAAGACTGAGGAGGCACTGGATACAGATGGGTGGCTTCACTCAGGAGACCTGGGCAAACATGACGAAGATGACTTCCTGTTCATCACTGGCAGAATAAAAGGTAGAAATACAGGGTAGAAAAGGTAGAATGGGGAGTTTCACATTTGTGAAATAAGGGTAAAACAATGTCTGCCAACTTTTTGTTATTTTTAGCAAATTTGTTTCCTGAGGTATTTTTCCTCATAGGGATTTAAATAACGGAGTGTCTATTTACACTAAGTGCAAATAGCCCACCTTGTTGGCAGAGGCTATTTACACTAGCTCCACCCACAGTCGTGTGATAGGGATGGTCAACACTATAAAAGACGGCTGACAATCGTCAGCTTCAGTGGTGTAGATGGTAAAGCGCGTACCGTAGTCTTTTTGACGCGATCGACCAGGGTTCGAATCCGCCTTTTACCGAACTTTTTTTTCTCCCTTTTCAAATCTCATATCACATCGGAAAGGCATTTATTTTCAATAACAATTAAGGAAATAATCAAAAAAATTGAAAATAAAGTATCGGGTAGGGTTAGGGTAGGTGTAGGGAGGGCTTTATTGTCCCAATAAGGGACAATTTATTGTCCATTTAATAATCTGAATTAAAATTATAATTTACACTAATACATTATTACTGCATACTGTTTTATAATGTACTATAATACTGAGTTGCAGATAATTGCCACTATTTGCAATAAGTAGTATAAATAGCAGAAAACCCTGCTATTTTAACAGTGTAAATAGAATCTATCGCTATCTGCACTAGTGTAAATAGCATATTGTTAAAAATACTGACATTTTCACTTAGTGTAAATAGAATCCATTGCTATTTGCACTCAGTGTAAATAGCATCTATCGCTAAGAAAATATGCTATTTCCACTTAGTGTAAATAACCTCTATCGCTGTCATAGCTGCTGCCTTTAAGTAAAGTCTGTTAAAGAGTTATACTTTATGTACTGGAAGCTCCTGACACCAAGACGAATTCCTTGTGTGTATAAACACACTTGGCAACAAATCTCTTTCTGATTCCGATTCTGATAAGCAGTAAACCAAATCAACCAGCTATGGGGTGAACCACAACATTACCAACTTTGACTTGAAGAAAAAATGTATCTGACCAAAAGACGAAGGTGCAATACTGTGTACTTAATGGAACAAACAAACATGGAATACTGCGAACCAAACATTCAAAATGAAAATGATCATAAATGTAAAACTGCTGATTTAAAGTTGTTGATTATGTATATAGAAATATGTTTATTGAAAAATATGTATACATATACAAATACTTCAGTAGTTTGAGAGCATATGTCAATTGTAGTGCTTTATGGCAGTGAGCAGGCACTAAAGAGCTCTTTTGGTACAATTGTGATTCTCTGATTGGTATAGATTTCTTTGCAGAATCATGGGTAATTGGTAGTTTTTCACCAGCCATTTAGCTGTTAAACACAATAATTAAAAAAAAGCGTGGGCTAATGGCTTCAACAAAACCATGTACCATCAGTTAACAACCTTATATCTCACAATAGGTCTGTCTTCAAATGTTTATGAGTCAGTTCCCTTATGGAGAAAATGAATTGGATTGTTGCTTTCTCTGCCTTTGGATAACGCCCATATTACTGTGAGAAAAGAAAAGAATTTAATTAAGATAAATGCATAAACTGCAGTGCGACAACCTGTAAACATTTGTTTATACATGTGTATCTAATGACCTTATTCTTGCAGAATTAATCATTACTGCTGGTGGAGAAAATGTACCACCCGTCCCTATTGAGGATGCCCTAAAAGAGGAGGTGTCAATCATCAGCAATGTCATGCTGGTTGGAGACAAAAAGAAGTTTCTGTCTATGCTACTCACACTCAAGGTGAGTCTACATTTACTTAAAGGAATAGTTCACTAAAAAATGAAAATTTGCTCACCCTCAGGAGCTTGTTGAACAGATTTGGAGAAATTTAGCATTATACTTGAGGATCACAGAGGATCCATTCCACACGTCATGCCAGGGGCGTAGCCATCATTTCAGAAGTGAGGGGGACAGAAATGTTATATATATATATATATATATATATATATATATATA